TTGCCTCAGTTAAGGTCAGTGTTCATGACTCCACTATAAGAAAGAGGCTGGGCAAAAATGGTCTGCATGGCAGAGTTCCATGACGAAAACCGCTGCTGAGCAAAAAGAACATAAAGGCTCTTCTCAGTTTTGCCAGAAAACATCTTGGTGATCCCCAAGACTTTTGGGAAAATACTCTGTGGTCTGACGAGACAAAAGTTGAACTTTTTGTAAGGTGTGTGTCCCATTACGTCTGGTGTAAAAGTAACCCTGCATTTCAGAAAAAGAACATCATACCAACAGTAAAATATGTTGGTGGTAGTGTGATGGTCTGGGGCTGTTTTGTTGCTTCAGGACCTGGAAGACTTGCTTGTGATAAATGGAACCATGAATTCTGCTGTTTACCAAAAAATCCTGAAGGAGAATGTCCGGCCATCTGTTCGTGACCTCAAGCTGAAGTGAACTTGGGTTCTGCAGCAGGACAATGATCCAAAACACACCAGCAAGTCCACCTCTGAATGGCTGAAGAAAAACAAAATGAAGACTTTGGAGTGGCCTAGTCAAAGTCCTGACCTGAATCCTATTGAGATGCTGTGGCATGACCTTAAAAAGGCGGTTCATGCTCGAAAACCCTCCAATGTGGCTGAATTACAACAATTCTGCATAGATGAGTGGACCAAAATTCCTCCACAGCGCTGTAACAGACTCATTGCAAGTTATCGCAAACGCTTGATTGCAGTTGTTGCTGCTAAGGGTGGCCCAACCAGTTATTAGGTTTAGGAGGACAAACACTTTTTCACACAGGGCCATGTAGTTTTGGATTTTGTTTTCCCTTAATAATAAAAACCTTCATTTAAAAACTGCATGTTGTGTTCACTTGTGTTATCTTTGACTAATATTTAAATTTGTTTGATCTGAAACATTAAAGTGTGACAAACATGCAAAAAAATAAGAAATCAGGAAGGGGGCCAACACTTTTTCACACCACTGTATATATATATGTGGGCAATTAATTTATCAGATCTGCTTTTTACCTTTCCAAAGATGAACACAAGCATGTTGTTGTGAAGCTGCTTGCGTGCTTTTTCATTTATATTTGTGAAAAAAAATAGAACTATGCCGGCCTTCATGTTGCCGTGGCAACGTGAGGCGACATGATGCATTGTGTGGTGTATACAAGTAAGAGAATGAAGAGAAAGAGAGGCATGTGAGTCATAAAATACTGTGACCCTGAAACTTGAGCAGAAAAAAAAAATCTGCCTACAGTAAGAAAGAACGAAGGCTATGGAGGGTCAAGAGCAAGCTGGAGTCAAAATGACCTAAAATACAGACAATGGCTGTTGATGGTGTTCGGTTAACTAGCTGGTGAGTCACAGAGGAATGTAATCAAAGTGCTGAAATGCCTGAAGTGTTTCGGTGTAATTTCTAAACGTGAGGAGGAGAGGCAGAATTTAATTTTGTGAGAGCGGCGCGCTTGTGATTTGATCTTCAGCCGTCTTGTTGTTGTCACATCTCAAAGAGGCCTTTTAGCCTGAAACTATCACTGGCATTGAGTGGGCAGCAATTAAAGCTGTAAACTCTTGAGCTCGGCCCCGTGGTGTTTGAATTCAATTACATAGTTGTTTATTGAAAGACATTATATTCTTTCTGTCCATTCTCCAGCTTTGTGCTTTGGAGAAATCAATGGAATTGATTTAATTCTTTTGTCTCATATAAGACACAGTGATTTTACTTAAATAATGGTGCTATTTGACTTTTCACAATAAATTCCAGAGAAAATAGACTCTTTTCTTTGTAGAAGCTATTGATGTCTGTATAAATGACCTAAAATCATATTTCAGTCTTTCTTAAGCTAATCACCGGTTGAGTCTTGACTAATCTATATATTTATTTGTTCAGAGCACACCCATTTTAGCAACCCTTGCACCAATTATCAAACTTTGAATGAAAAACATCATAACATTTGCTGCATTTACATATGAGACAAAATAAAAACAATAAAAAAATCCACTGACAAAAATTGCCGTTATTAAGATTTTTGTTAATGCTTTGAAATTAAAATCATTTATAAAATAAATTAAAAATAAAATTAGAAATTAAAATAAATAAAAAATGGAATGACATTTTTAGAAATAATAACAACATAAATAAAATAAATTGCATCTGATTTAGTAACACATATATATATAATTAATGGTTTAATTGATACACTTTTTTATTTTATATAATTCTGTAACTCCCATTTATCCAAATATGGATGACGACGACGATGATGACTTTAAAAATTAGATGTGCAAAAGACAATTACCATGTTTATTTGTTATTAAATATGAAGTAATTAATTAACATTTAATTTACTATAACATTCAAAGAACATCTGTTGTAACAGAAAAAAAAAATAATGCTGTGTGTGTGTGTGTGTGTAATGTGCGTACAGGTTTATATATCCTGGTGAGGACTTAAACCTGAATACACACATGGGGACTCGTGTCACGGTGGGGACCTACATTGAGGTCCCCATGGATACAAAACTTATGAATCATACAGAATGTTTTTTTTTTTTTTGAGAAAGTAAAAATGCAGAAAGTTTCCTGTGAGGGGTAGGTTTAGGTGTAGGGCGATAGAAAATAGGCTACGGTTTGTACAGTAGAAAAACCATTATGCCTATGGAGAGTCCCTACAAAGATAGCTGACCAGACATGAGTGTGTGTGTGTGTGTATATATATATGTATGTATGTGTGTGTGTGTGTGTGTGTGTGTGTGAGAGAGAGAGAGAGTGTGTGTGTGTGTGTGTGTGTGTATGAATGAACACATATTGTGATGGAACAAATTTAACATAAACAAAGAAGCATATACCCCACGTGCCCCCTCCACGCCGCAGAGGACGGAGCACCGCGCAACAACTCACATCGATAGAGACGCTGTCATTACATAGGCTATCTTAAACATTTATTTTTCATCAGTTTATGTTTGCTGAATTTCACCCGCATAAATGTTTAATTCAGCGCAAATATGCCACTTCATTCCCCCACCCCTATGGAGGAGTGCATGAGATCTCCCTACTTTGCATATTAACTACAGAATGATGCTGGGTGTGTTTATTATTTAATTAATCTGCTACTTCTGTTAGCTACATTTAATATACAGAAATGTAAATATAGGGGAAATAAGCCTTTGTTTTTGATTATAAAGACAGAATTACCAAACTCATAAAAAATAATTATTGAAAAATACGAAACCGTGTGACAAACATTATAATACAATTTATTATAATACGATTTATGATACAAAAAGGGGCCCATATGAATATAATTTAATATAACTGTGGCTTAAAAAACTTTTACCACATAGTAGCCTATTACAGGTTTTGTTCTTAACACATAAAAAAATATATAGTAACTTTTATTTACCCCCCCCCCCCACA